TTTTGCCATTCTATGTGTTCAGATGATTTGCTTCCTTACCCTGGGTCCTCTTCTGTGACATTCCTTTATTTATTTTATTTCTTAATTAATTTTTTTTAATGTAGTGCTGGGGATGGAGCCCAAGGGTTCCCATATGCTAGGCAAGCCCTTCACACTGAACATCTTAGGTATCGACTGAAGAAATGACAAGTGTCTTGTTCCAGGGGGCCTCTTTGATGACAGTCCCAATGGCCCATCTACGGCCAGCTTCCTGGATCCGTGGCTAGTGCAGTCACACAAGGCTCTGTCCTCAGAAAGGCCCAAGCTTGGGGATTTAACTCTCAAAGATCGGTCTCTTGGAACCTGGAATAATTTTGCCCTGCACTTGAGCTGTGTACACGGAGCACACTGGGATGGTAGCGCAGGTGCTGGGTGAGCTGGCCTCTCAGCTGTCACTGGGTCTGAACCCCCATCAGCATTCTGCCTCCCCAGGATGGTTCCTGGCCTCTCAGCTCCCTCAGCCCTGCCTCCCAATCACCTGCGCACAGGTGCGCACTGCCCACCAAATCACATGTTGTGGCCTAGGTACCAGTGAGGATCAGCATGAGTTCCACCGTCTCCTCCTGTCCAGGAGAGAGTGGCATGATGTAGCTAGGAATGATAACATGACAGGCCCAGAGAGGGAGAATGCAGAAGCCAGAACAGATTCTTCCTGCTTTTTATATATTTATTTTTTTGGTGGTACTGGGATTTAAACTCAGGACCTCACACTTGCTAGGTAAGTGTTCTACCTGAGCCACACCACCAGCCCTTGTTTGTATGGGGTATTTTTGAGATAGGTCTTGCGAACTGTTTGCCTGGGCTGGCTTGAAACCACAAGCCTGCTCATCTCTGCCTCCTGAGTAGCTGGGATTACAGGTGTGAGCCACCAAGCACCCTGCTACACTTGTTTGTTTTTTGAGACAGGGTCTCATAGCCCAGACTGTCCTGGAACTTGCTATCCTCTTGCCTCACCTGTACCTGAGTGCTGGAACTATAGGCAGGCACCAATTTTCCTGCTTTTTGAGCAAGGGAGAGCAAGGGAGAAAGCCACACTTTCATTCTGCACTGGGCCTTGCAGATCACAGAGCTAGCCCTGGTCCCATCTGACAGCGGCTGTGTGTCAGAGGTGACAGTTCAGGGCCACTGTCAGAGACACCTACTTTGACCTTCCTTTTGGATCAGGGCAAGGCTTAGAGCCTTACAAATACACACTCCTGACCCAGCAATTCCACTTATCATCAGAGGGGTTCACCAGGAAGTGTGTGAGGATGTTTGCCTTGCTGTTATTTATGACTGGGAAGGCCAAGTGCATAATCCATTTGAAGGACCGGATAAAGACATTAAGACTGTATCATAAAAGAGACTTTATTGGTTTGAGGAAAAACTCTTGATATTTGCAAAACCGGGGAAAGTGAGCTGCCGAAGGGCACAATCTCATTTGCATAGACGCATAGGGAAATATGGGTCGATTTATCCTTAAATACTGACAGCTGTTCCTCAGGGACATGTGGTGGTGCTTTCCCCCGCCCCCCAGCTGTGCTCGTCTGTGTTGTGAGCTCCCTGCACAGAGCACACAGCCTTGATCAGTGCACAGAGGCACTGGGAGCCAAGGGCGAGACTGGTTGCCTGTGGTCAGAGCCCAGCTCTACTCCTTACATCACTGTGACCTTGGGCAAGGATTTAATGCTCCAGGCCTCAGTGTTCCCGTCTGTAAGCAGGGAAGGTAGGAGATCTCTTCAAGGGTCAAGGGGGCTAAATGAGTTCATCTGTGCAGGGAGCCTAGAGCAATATCTAATGCATAGTAAGCTCTGTTATTATTATTGCTGTTTTTAAGAAATTATGAAAGAGACTGACACCTGTAATCCTCCCTACTTGGGAAGCTGAGATCAGGAGGATCAAGGCTCCAGGCCAGCCTGGGCAAATAATTTGTGAGACTCCCCATCTCCAAAATAAGCAGAGCAAAATGGACTGGAGCACCTGCTTTGTGAGAGCGAAGCCCTGAATTCAAACCTCAGTCTCTCTCTCTCTCCCTCTCTCTCTCTCTCTCTCTCTCTCTCTCTCTCTCTCTGTCTCTGTCTCACACACACACACACACACACACACACACATACACACACACACAATACGTAAGGGAAAATATTGAGGGACGGCAGTTAACCTTTTTATCTTTTGGATCTTCTGGATTTTCAAGTCAAGTGAAGCATGCAATGCTTTTACAATCGGGGGAATATGTTACTGAAAGACAGAAGGTGAAAGGTGGTTCACTCACTCAGTGTTATTGGGGAGACAGGATGAAGCCAGGTGAGCTGAGCTGCATGTTTTTCAGGTCAAGGTTATGTGTGGATTCCTGAGTTTGTCCCACACCCTCATTCTAGCCCCCAACAAGAACCCAACACCTGAAAGGCAGACACCCATGCTGAGTTAGAGGATCATAAAATATCTTCAGCTAGGCCAGGCATGATGACACACATCTATAATCCCAGCACTGGGGAAGCTGAGGCAGGAGGATCTTGAGTTCAAGGGTAGCCCAGGCTTCTGTGCCAGTTAATCTTGGTCATCAGCTTGACTGGGTTGAGAGATACCTAGGAAATTACTGAGCATGCTGAGGGTCATTAGACCATGAGGGCTCTCATCTAATCAGTGGCTTCATTTACTGATGGAGTCAAAATTTAATAGCCTATCAGAAGGCGGAAGGACCTAGTTGAGGAAAGTGAGCTATATGGGGCGTGTCTTCGAAGGGCACATCTTGTCTTGTCTGCCTCCTGTCTTGTCTGCTTCCTGGCTGCCACTGAGTTGAACAGCTCAGCTCTGCCATGCCCTCCTCATGCTCATGGTGAACTGAAACTATGAGCAAAATTAAGTTTTTCTCTCAGGTGTGCGGTCACAGTGACACAAAGTATCTAATACAGCTACATGGTAAGACACTGTCTAAAGAAAACAACTAGCCAAGTGTGGTGGTACATACCTGTAATCCTAGCGCTTGAGAGGCTGAGGCAAGAAGATCTCCATTCCAAGCCAGCTGAGCAAAAGTTAGCAAGACACTAGGAAAAAAAATTAGCAAGACTCTGTCTCAAAAAGAAAATAAAAACAAAAGGGCTGGGGGTGTGACTCAAGTACTAGACTGCTTGCCTAGCATTCAAGAGGCTATAGGTTCAGTCCCCAGTACCACAAAATAAAATGAAATAAAATAAAAATAACTTTAAGCTGGCAGACTAGCTCAAGCAGTTAGAGCACCTGCTTTGCGAGGATGAAACCCTGAGTTCAAACCCCAGTCCCACCGAAAACAAAAACAACAAAAAAAAAACTTTAGGTAAATCTCAATAGATGATCTAGAAACATATGTAGAGAGCCATATACTAATCTACCCAGTGTTGTCTATACAGATAGAACGACAAACACAGAAGACTCTTTGACTATGAAAATGATATCCCATTCATAACCTAACACAGGACTGACCATCAAGTGGTAATTGCTGACTCAGTTGTTTGCCTGTCTTTTTAAAATGCCTGCAACTTTCTTCATAAGCCTCATACTTACCACAGTGCCTGGCACATGGCAGAGGCTCCCTAGAAGTCTGTTGAATGAATGAACAAGATGCGTGAATTCAGTCAGACACCAGTGGCTCATGCGTGTAATCCTAGCTACTCAGGAGGCAGAGATAAGGAGGATCAAGGTTCAAAGCCAGTCCAAGCAAACAGTTCCTTGTGAGCCTATCTTAAAAATACCTAACACACAAAAAAAGGGTTGCTGGAGTGGCTCAAGGTGTAGGCCCAGAGTTCAAGCCCCAGTGCCACAAAAAAACAAGATGCATGAATTCACCTAGCAACAGAGATGCAAACATCAAGGTATAGAGATGGGGCAGCGTGTATGCTAGCTTTGTTTGGGGTGGGGGAGGGGGTCAAGGAAAAACCCAAGGTGGGCAGTAAGGTTCAGGTAAACGACGATGCCTGCGCAAGGTTTTGAAGGGTGAAAGTGAATTTGTCCCTGCAGAAGAGAGAAGAGTCAACAGTCAGTGAGAACTTTAAAGGATCCTCTAGGACAGTTTTACCCTAATTCCCTTTAATTTAAAAAGATCAGTACTTCTGTTTCTGAACAAATGAAAGATATTTAATAACATTTCATAAACAAATCTTAAAAGTCCCGTGAGTTCAGGGCCTAGTGAACAGAGCAGGTGCAGTGGACCGTGGGCTGCTCTGGGAATCAGAAGACTGGAGCATCACAAATATTAACTAATTAACTGTAGACCATCACAAGAGGTAAAGTACAACAGAAAGCTGGACACAGGGTGATGACAGGGAATGTAGCTGAACAGAGTAGTCATCAAAGACTGATCAGCGTCCAGGGATCGCTCCCATAGTAAGGAGAAGGGGGAGATGCGGCCATCACTGGAACCCTGTGGCCGGCAGCCGGGTCCGTCCAACGAGGCACTGTTCGGTCCACGCGGTGTCCCAGCGCCTGCGATGGTGGGGGACACTGGCAGGCTTCTGCGACGCAAATCGCGGCCTGCTTTGCGGCGGCCAGAGTCTGGGGTCTCGGCCCAAAGTCCTGGGCCGAAGGGGCACCTGCCACGGTTCCCCCGGCCGGGGTGCCCAGCAGCCATCCTTAGGCCCCGCCCACTGCACCCCACCCGCTCTAGCAGGCCCCGCCCCATGCGGTCACGCCCCACTTCGCCCCGCCCCGCGTCGCTGCGACCCACTGCGCCCCACCCGCTGCACGCAGGCCCCGCTCCACGCCGCTACGCCCCACTCCCGCGCCCCGCCCACTGTCCGCAGGCCCCGCCCCACGCCGCTACGCCCCACTCCCGCGCCCCGCCCACTGTCCGCAGGCCCCCGCCCCGCGTCGCTACGCCCCACCCCCCTCGGCCGCCGCCATTGGCCGCTCCACCTCCGCCCTCGGCTCGCACTTCCTGGCGAAGCCATGGCCGCGCTCCGGGCCAGCCCAGGGGCCCCGGCGCCCGCTCCCGCGCCTCGCCGCCTCTCCCGCCCGCCGCCGTCGCCCGCGCCGTGCGCGTAGCGCCCTCCACGCGCCCGCTCAGCTGGACACGGCCGCGCGCCTTCGAGGCGGACAGGTGGGGGCCGGGTGGGATCCGGAGGGTCCCGCGTCCCTTTGTGCCTGGTGGCGCGCTGGGGTGCGCCGGGGAGGGCGCGGCCGGCATCCCCGTTGCTGAGACAGGTGCGGCCTGTGCGCCGGCCCCCGCGCGGCCGCAGGTGACCGCCTGCATCCCCCTCCCTTCCTCGCAGCGGCTCGAGCCTGCCCTGGCGGCGGTTGTGCCCGCAATTCCGCCACGGGGTGCCGGGTCCCAGCGAGCCGCCGCTGCGTCCCCGGAGACCTAGCCGGCGAGACCCGGGACGGGTGAGTGCTGCCTGGACGCCTGTCCACTCCAGCCGCGTGGTATTTCCTCCGGCGCCGAGATCGGAAGGCTCCCCGGGGACTCCTACGCCCCGGACGTGGGCTCTGTTCCCTTGTTTACTGAGAGACCTTTACACGTAACGAGATCGTCACTGTGTCTGTGGATGGCCTTGACCCCTCACCTGCTTTCAAAAAGCATGGGAGACAACTGGCCTCCAAAACCCCGGTACAAACCAGACCCAGCCTCCAGCACTGGGAACTCTGTCTAGATATCTTGGCCTAGAAAAGAAAGCTTCTAGCATTTGAGGGCAAAACGGAGCCCTGGCTGGCTGCCTGTGGGGGGAGAACTGGGAAAGGACACCTGTTTTGTCTGGTTGTAACCTTGGTCAGACCCTTAGCCACCTGCCAGGTTATCCCGCTTTGAAAATGGTGATGCTTCTGTCTCAGAGGACCAAGGTGAAATGAGGGAGCTGGGTATGCTGTAGGCACTGCATGAATGCCGGTTTTCTTCCCTTTCCTCCGGGGCCTCCCAGCAGCCTAGGGGCAGTCAGAAGGGTGGGGGTGGGTGGTTGTACAGCTTGTCGAGGTCACAAAGTTGCTAGTTTGTCCTGGGATCTAGTTGTCCCTTCCTTTCTTGGGGAGGAGTTGAACAGGATGGGATGTCCCTGAATTTATTCCTCCCATTGGAAACAGTGAAGCCCCTTCTCTTTGTCCCCATTTATCTTAGAATAGTGCTGACTTCTAGCAAAAGTTTGTTCTGTAGGAAACAAATTGATTCTTCTCCTCGACTCAGCAATTCCTCCTTAAACCCTCAGTCCTACTGTGTGACTTGTGCCCACACCGTTGGCTTTGTCCTTCCCTGGTTGCGCTCACCCAGTCCACCAAGCCCTCCCCCATCCTCACGGGATCCAAGCTATTAATGAGTTGCTTGGCATTTCAGTGCTGGTAGAAACCTTAACACTGCCCGGTACACCAGCTCATTCTATAGATTTGACCGTGACGTCCAGTTAGGTTAACACAGTTGCTCAAGTTCTTGTTCTAGGTAAAAGGCATAGGCCCCAGCTGAAGTTTCTGACTGTGGGCAGCCCTCCTCCCCCATGCCCAGTCAGTATTGCCTTGGGATTCAGAGGGGGTTGGAAGTCCCCTGGGTCAGAATCCCACATGGTCACGTGTCTGTGATGCTAGACAGGTTCCTTCTTCCTTCTGCTGTCACCACCTCCTCTGTAAAATGAGGAGAATGTAGTGCTGGCCTGGTGGCATTGTAGTGGGAGTAAATGAGCGAAGAACCCAGACACCCTCAGGTCTAAAACTACCTGTCTGCATGTGGCCATTTTGCTGCACCACAGCCTTCATCTCGTTGTGATACTTCAAAGAATGATCCTCGCCAAGCCTGGGCTGCATGCAGTGTGCTCAGGCGAAGGGCCTAGGTTCTGAAGCTGGATTGATAGCTGTTTACTCGCTTTGCAACCACGATTTGTTTCTTTTATGGTAGTACTGGGGTTTTGAACTCAGGCAGGCACTCGCTACCCCTGAACTAAACCCTCAGTCCCCATGACCATGGCTTCCGTATCCTCATCTGAGAAATGGGACAAGTGACATCAGCCAGGCTAACTTGTTTCAGGGGTCAAATAAGAAGGCACAGAGGGAGAGAAGTCCCTTTGCATAGCTCTAGGACCATAGTCTGGTACCCAAGTGATAATGAGTTATCATGATAAACTTAAGCTAGCCAAAAGACCTGGTTCGGATTAGGCATCAAAAGGTAAGGATTTGTAGGACACAGGCTAAGTGACACAACATTGTCATATATTAGATGATGTTTAGATGTTGGAGTTTAAATGTTCTCAACAGTTCTGACGCTGGACTCTTTCAGCTCACAGCATCAGTTCTTCATAGCACAGTGTTCTGGCCCATCCTTCCTCTGGGACTGTTTCCACACCTGCTGTCTGTTGTATCTGCCAGCAGGATCTGCAGTTAATGAACGACCAGGAGTTGAAGCTGCACACTTGCTCAGGAATCCTGTGACCACTTAGGATGGAGGGAAGCAGGCAGACACGCGTGTCCCGACCGTACAAGATCAGCGAGTCTTCAAAGGTCTGTGTACAGTCACTCACCACCTGTGCGAACCGCCTTAGTCCTGTGGCAGTCTCTGGTTGACTCATTCTTGTGCATACGCTGATTTTGGCTATTGATGTGAATCTCCTTAGCTGTGGCCAGATGTCTCTGTTTCTCAGTGTGGTGTTGCAGAGCTGCCTCTGTGCACAGCTCCGTTCACTCCTTCTGTGTATCAGCACTGAGAGGTGGATGGAACTGGGTAGAACCAGGGGATGTCAACTGCAAGGACAGGTTCCATGAGAACCAAGCCTCTGGCCTTATGGTGAACTCGTTGTGTACCTGATGTTAAGGACCCAAGGTCCCTGCTCATGACTCTATGGGATCCCAAGAGTGAGTGATAGTGGGTTCCCCAGAGCTGGGCAACCAGCCCACATCAGATGGCTGCATCAGAATTGCCCAGTGGGAAGTAGAGGGAGAAGTGCAGTTGGCCATAGGATGGCCTGGTTTTGCCTGCTTCCCATTCAGCTCAACTCTGAGAGCAGGACCTTCAGCAGACTCCTTGGGGATTCTCAGCAGCCTCCATTCCCCAGCACTGTTCTAGCTAAAGACTGGGGACTCAGGTGTGGGACAGTCCCCATGACCACTTGTCTCCTAATTACAAATACTGATGATGTCATTTCTTTCAAGTGTCCTTGTGGAGACTGAGTTTCCTGAGCTTTCTCATTCAGGGTGCTTTTGCCCCCAGAGGGGTGAAAATTTGTTCTCAGGGGTGCAGAAGGCATTTTACTTTTGATATATACAGCATAAATGCACATACATTACTTAGGTGGACATACGCTATGCCCAGGCTGGTAAAATTTCCTATGTGAGGGGGAAGCTTTTAGGATAAAATACCCTAAAAGGCTTCTTAGTAGAAGAAAAGATAGAGAAACTCTGTGTTAGACACAGGGAGTGAGCAGCCAGGAGAAGTGGGAGAAGCGGGGAGGCTCTGCAGATGCACATAAAAGAAAAGTGGGCATCATTTGCAGAAGAGGCAGGTCCTCCGAGAATCAGCCCCCTGGTGCCATCTGAGCTGACTGAGGAGCTTCCGCCAGTCCTGCTCTCATGTGAAAGCCTGAAGGGTCCGGCTGCTCTCAAAGGCGCTTTGTTTCCCGCCTTGGTGCAGCGACAGTGTGGCTTTGTACGCTTGATGGCACTGGCAGTCTTTGTCCTTTAAAGCCAGAATGGAAGCTCTTAGGAGTAAGGCTCTATGCCCTGACACTTCATTTTAGGAAGGGCATCATGTGTGGATACTAACCCCCACCTACCCACACCCAGGTGGAATACAAAGACAGTGACCAAAGCCTGCAGTGTCTGTGCTCAGTGGGCTCCTCTCCCACTCCTCGCACTGTGACTCACAGAGTTGAGATCTTGTGGTGGGCACTCGTCTGGCTGGCTGCTGGCACTCAGCATGAAGCCTCTGAGACTCCCTGGGGGGCTGCCGGCAAGCCATGGTACTTGTTTGTGCTCCACGGTGGTCTGTCTGCTGTCTCTGCTCGCTTCGCCACCCTGAAGTGAAGTGAGTTGATCCATGTCAGTCAGATTCCTTATAGACAGGGAACCTCCCGTCCCTGCTGCATTGTCCCCACGTTAGGCCCTGACCCCTGCGTTCCTTCTGCCACCTGGCCTTGCATTTGATGAGGCCCTAAAGTGGTATCTAAAGGATGATGAGAACCGGTAGCATCAGAGGCCACTGGACGCTGATGCTTCTAAATTATCTGAAATTCTGCCATTGGTGTCCTTTGAGAGTTTGGAGATGTCGGGTGTGTCTTGAAAGTTGTAATTTCTGCAGCTGTGCCAAAATGCCAGGAATGGGCTGTTCTCAAGGCCATGTTGAGGAGGGAACACAGCTGTTAGCGTGGAGCCCAGCATCAGAAACAATAGCCACGCTTTCCCCCACCCTGGCCCATCTGAGTATGGTAGGCCCGGCACCCTCACTGGTCTAAACCACCAGGGGCCAGGCAGATCCACCTGTTGTCCCCACTGGCTTACCTGGGAGCAGTACGCCTTTACATGAGGCAGACTCCTACTGCATCTTGACCTGAGACCACACCCAAGCAGGGCCCAGACCAGTGTCATAGGAGCCCGGCCCATTCCTGCTTAATGAGAGGCCAGTGCTAGGCCAGCTGGGTATTTCCGTGAACACCAGATCCACACAGGAAGCCTGTGAACAGGAGCAGCCTGGCCCTGAGCTGGAAAGAGAAGGAAACCTTAGGTTGGACCTGTTTAGCATCCTCAACAGGTTGTAAGGGCCTTGTCTACTGTGACGAAGACAGAGTGATCAGGTTGGAATTGGCCGGAAGTAAAGGTACTACCAAAAGATAGAACAACCAATTACAAATGCACCAGCATGGGGAAAGGGCAGAAAAAGGGTGTGCACGTGGAGAGGTGACTTGTCAGAATTCAGGGAGGTAGGGACAGCACTGAGACCCAGTGAACCCTCGGTCCACACCCCTCTCTCTCCATACTCGCCCTGCTCAGGTGTAGTGCCCAGCCAGATCCCCTCAGTTGCCCCAAGAAGACCAACTACTACTGGATGCTCTTGCATGGTCTGTTTTTTCTCTATGTCAATTTTTCTTTTTCTTTTTTTTCCGAACTGGGATTTGAACTAGAAGAGGTTAGAACTTGATAGGCAAGGGTCTATCACTTGAGCCACGCCCCAGTCCTTTTTGCTCTAGTTGTTTTTCAGATAGGGTCTTGCAGTTTTCCCAGTGCTAGCCTGGTTGGAGATCCTCCTGCCTCTGCCTCCTGAGCAGCTAGGATTGTAGTCATGAGCCTCTACTTGCAGCTTGGTGGGTTTTTTTTTTTTTTTTTTTTTGACATAGAGTATCACTAACTTTTTGCCTGGGCTGGCCTCTGACCATGACACTCCCTCGTCAGCCTCCTGAGTAGCTAGGATTATAAGCAGAAGCCACCGTGCCTGGCTTTTCTCCCTTTCTCTGATAAAGCAGTGTGCAGTGTCAGGAGCACAGTCTGTGAGTCCTCCAGGACTTCAGAAGCTCATGTCTGTATCTGATTCATCTTTGCAATATGGTGACATGTAGCACTCAGTAAATGACTGCCACTGGGATTTATCAAGTGAATCTGGATTATTCATAGTAGATTTATTAATTCCACTATTGCATGGTGATGAAAGCTTTGGGCTCTGGAGTTGCACATAGGTCCAAGCCTCGGCCCTGCCACACAGTCTCACACTTGTCTATGCGCGGTTTCTTCATCTCTCTGAACCTCTGTTTTCCCCCTTTGGAAAGTGGAGTTGAAGCAGATGTTTCCTTGGGGAGGTTACTACCATGCTAAACGAAAGGTGCCAGCATATAGGGCCCCCAGGAAAAGATGGCTCCTTGCACTATATCTGCAAAGCCACAGCTCTCATAGTAGGATCCCGGGAGCACCTTAGATATATCGCTGTATCTGCCACCTCCCCCAGAGCAGAGCAGTAGAAGATGGAGGGTTGTGCCCTCTTTAAAACAGCTGTCTTTCTCAGAGCAGTTCCTGGGTGGGGCTGACAGCGCTTCTCAAGCTCTTACAGGCCAGCTTTCTGACATGTTCTGTCCACTGAGTCCCCAAACCTAAGTTGTAAACTCCCTCACTCTCATTCCAAGATGAGGAAACGGAGGCTCAGAGAGGTTCTGTAGCTTTCCCAAGACCCAACTGATTTGAGGGGCTTCCTCCTGAACAACTCCACTTCTCTAATAGGAGGGCACTTTCCAAACTGTTTGTCATGGGCCAGAGGAAGGAATAGGGGAATAAAGAAGGGAGAGGGAGGGAAGGAAAGAAGAAAGAAAATGTTTCGAGTTCTAACGATAAGGAAGGAAGACGATGAGAGGGAGAGAGAAGGCAAGAAAGTGTTCAGGAATTCTATTTATCAAAAAGGAAGAAAGGTGCTGGGTGAGCCTAGTGGCTCACAGCTGTAATTTCAGCTACTCAAGAGGCAGAGATTGGGAAGATCACAGTTCAAAGCCAATGCCAGGCTGGCTCAAGGTGTAGGCCCTGAGTTTAAGGCCCAGTACTACAAAAAAAAAAAAAGGAAGAAAGGAAGGAAAGAGACAAACACACAAGCACCTTCCTGTCCCATGATGTGCTCTGTCTTATTTCCTGTGTTCTTTTACTCCATCTTTCTGGCCGCACTGGTCGTGGGCCCTGGGTGGGTGCTTCTCTCCTAACACCCTCCTCTGCACAGGTATACCGCTGGGCTGACCACTCCGCCACAGTGCTGCAGCGACTGAACGAGCAGCGGCTGCGTGGCCTCTTCTGTGACGTCGTCCTGGTGGCCGATGAGCAGCGTGTGCCAGCCCACCGCAACCTGCTGGCCGTGTGCAGCGACTACTTCAACTCCATGTTCACGCTGGGCATGCGGGAGGCCTTTCAGAAGGAGGTGGAGCTCATCGGCGCCTCGTACATCGGGCTGAAGGCCGTGGTGGACTTTCTGTACGGCGGGGAGCTGGCGCTGGACGGGGGCAACATCGACTATGTCCTGGAGACGGCACACCTGCTGCAGATCTGGACAGTGGTGGACTTCTGCTGCGAGTACCTGGAGCAGGAGGTGAGCGAGGACAACTACTTATACCTGCAGGAGCTGGCCTCCATCTACAGCCTCAAGCGGCTGGACGCCTTCATCGACGGCTTTGTTCTAAGCCACTTCGGCACGCTGTCCTTCACGCCCGACTTCCTGCAGAACATCTCCATGCAGAAGCTCTGCCTGTACCTGAGCAGCAGCCAGGTGCAGCGGGAGTGCGAGCACGACCTGCTGCAGGCAGCCCTGCAGTGGCTGACGCAGCAGCCCGAGCGCGAGGCGCATGCCTACCACGTGCTGGAGAACATCCACTTCCCGCTCATCCCCAAGAACGACCTGCTGCACCGCGTCAAGCCAGCCGTGTGCTCTCTGCTGCCCCGGGAGGCCGACTGTGAGGGCTTCATCGAGGAGGCCGTGCGTTACCACAACAGCCTGGCGGCACAGCCCGTCATGCAGACCAAACGCACCGCCCTGCGCACCAACGAGGAGCGCCTGCTCTTCGTGGGCGGCGAGGTCTCCGAGCGGTGTCTGGAGCTCAGCGATGACACCTGCTACCTGGACGCCAAGAGCGAGCAGTGGGTCAAGGAGACGCCCCTGCCAGCCCGCCGGAGCCACCACTGCGTCGCTGTGCTGGGTGGCTTCATCTTCATCGCAGGTGGCAGCTTCTCCCGGGACAACGGAGGGGATGCAGCCTCCAATCTTCTTTATAGGTATGACCCCCGCTGTAAACAGTGGATCAAGGTGAGGTTAAAGCCGGATTACTTCTTTACTCTTGAGGCCTCTTTTGGTTTCCTTCACCTAGTCTTGACTTCCCCTTCCTTCTTTCGGGCCTTCATGACTGTCCTGCTCCTGAGCGAGGTGTGACCATAAAGTGACAAGCCACACAGCTCCCACCTTCCCCGTGCCCACACCCTGGTTTGGAGGCTCTGTTGTCTAGAGCATCATCCTCTGGTGGGCCCAGAAACGTCCTGTGTTTGACACATTCGTCACCTTTCCCATGTGGCAATTGAGCGCTCGGATGTGGCCAGCGGCTGAAGACCCAAATCTTCAGATTCCTTGAATTATAACTTAAGTTATGTTGAGTATAAATGGCCACACGAGGCCCAGGCTGCCAGACTGTAGTTGACACAAGTTTCTCTGGGCCTCAGAGTCTCTACTGAGTGTGTCCTGTTTTGGAGAGGTTTGGGGAGCTGTTCAAAGGCAGCCACCAAGCCCCTCTCCCACCAGGGCCCAGGGCAGGTATCAAAGCCTGATTCTGGGAAGAAGAGGGACCTGGACACAGCCCCTGGCTTGGCTGCAGCATGGCTGGGAGGTTTCAAGCTGGTTCCTCACCTTCTCCAACCTCATACTCCCACGCGTGTGGTTTTCTAGGGGTCAGGGAGGTTGTAACCTGTGTTGACTGGCATGCACCTAGCTTAGGGAAGACGTCCCCCTTCTCCCACAAACCCCTCTCCAGACCCCAACCCAGGAAAACCTGTCTGTCTTTATTCTCACACCTCCGAGTTACTACTTACCTCAATGTTTGCTGAGCTTAACACTCAGTACGGATTGCAGGTGGCCTTTTCATTCTGCCCCCCAAAATCTAAATCCATGGGCAATATCACGCCACCAGAAGAAGGCTCCCACCATGGAGTCCAGCTGCAAAGGCTTTGTGATGGTGGCCACACAGGTGTGTCTCCTGCAGGACCATGTTCGTGTGTGTTCTGCTAGGGTTTTTTTGTTTTGTTTTTTTTTAAGGTTGGGTAGACTTATTAACTCCGTTGAGCCCCACTTTCTACAGTGTTACTTGGACGCAATCAGCATTAATTTTTTTTTTTCTGTGGGACTGGGGTTTGAACTCAGGACTTCACTCTTGAGCCATGCCTATATTCCATTTTGCTCTGGTTTTTTGGAGATGGGGTTTCATGAGCTCTTTGCCAGGTTGGCCTCAAACATGATCCTCCTGATCTCAGCCTCCCATGTAGCTAGGATTACAGACGTGAGCCACCATTTCCCACCTAGCTTTAACTTTTCAAAATATGGAGGCCGTATTTTGAAGGTGTAGCTCAGTGGTAGAGCACTCATCTAGCATGTGGTTTATCCCCAGCACCTCAACAAAAGAGAGCTCTAACAGTGAGAAAGATTTTTTTTTTTTTTTGGTAGTACTGGAGTTTGAACCAAGGGCCTTATAAGCTTGCTAGACAGGTGATCCTCCACTTGAGTCACTCTGCCAGCCCAAGAATAATTTTTTTTATTTCGTAAAACTACTTTTTTTCATTGGCAATTTTTAACTGTGTCCTAGTCCATGAAGTTGGCCACATGAGTTTGGGGAACGATGTGCCCCCTTCCCCACCTCATGGAGACTCAAGCGTCCTAAAGAAGCACCAGGGACACTCAGAAGTCCCAGCAGAAGACCCTCCTCCTCAAGTTCTCCTCCTTTCCCCAGCTCACTTGGCCACTGTCTCACCCACCTGTGTCGTGCACTCTGTAGACACTGCTGGGGAGTGGGTGCTGGGTGATGATGCCGCCTGGGTGTGGGGAAGGGAAGCTTCAGGTGTCTCACCCCCACAGGTGGCCTCCATGAACCAGCGCCGTGTGGATTTCTACCTGGCCTCCATTGAGGATATGCTGGTGGCCGTTGGTGGCCGGAACGAGAATGGAGCGCTATCTTCCGTAGAGACCTACAGTCCCAAGACTGACTCCTGGTCCTATGTGGCCGGCCTGCCAAGGTGACTGGTGGGTTTGTGGCCGTATTCCAGCAGAATGTGTTCATGGGATGAGGTTTGGTCCAGTTCTCGGGAAAGCCTCTTGGCTTATGCACAGCACTGGGTAGCCCATGGGGAGAACTGGGCTCTGGTTTTAGACTGAGTGCAAGCATCAGCTTTGCCTCTAAGACAAGCATCCCCCTCCCCCATCTGCAGAGTGAGCATGATTACAGCTACCCCCCAGCCTCACTGGGAAGGTGGGGTGAGGTGCAGCTGAGGAAGCCCTCGATGGCATCTGGCCCCAGGGAGAGCAGCACTCTCACCTTCCTTGGCCCTACAGCCAAGCACGCGTTCATGGAGTTAGCAGAGGTCACTCAGCTGCGTGACAGATTCCCTGTTGCTGCCTGAACACATACTTTCTGAACCAGTCTTTCTGTGGATATCTTGGGGACTTTGTACCCTAGAGTTAAGGGCATGTCAGACATGAGTGTACCTCTCCGCTCCTAGATGACCACCTTCATGCAGAAGTCAGGAACCCACTGAGCAGTTCTGGACACCTGATGGGAAGCAGGTGACCCTCCTGATCATCAATAGCTATTGTGTTACTCTGGCTGGATGCTTTGACAGGAGTCCCTGGGTGTCCACAATGATCTAGCGGTGGAGAAGCAGGTGTACTGTGTGATTTATCATGTAAGCCAGGGTGACAGCAAATGGGGCAGGTCTGCCCTGGGCTGGCCAGGACCCTAAGTTTAGATGGAGACATGAAGCCTGATTACAGTGCCCAGAGCAAGTGCTGGCGCTGGTGGAGCAGCTCAAGTGGTAGAGCGCCTGCCTAGCAAGCAGAAGGTCCTGAGTTCAAACCCTAATACAATAAAAAAAGAAAGAGTCCAGAGAACATGCTGTCACCACTGTGTCTGGGCCAGCCAGTGCGACTACACACCGCACACTATAGCAGACACACTATGGTTTCGTTTCTAAACAGCTGGAGCGAGACTGTCTCATGCTGCTCACATGCAGGGCTAGTCAGACCTTTTTTGAGTTACTGCCTTGTTTCATAACGGAACCTCTGTGCGCCCACGGCCCAAGCCCATAGCCAGGAGCCTGGCTGATCACTTCTGCTGTGAACGCTGCGCTGCTGCCTCTATGCAGCCCAGCTGTGTCGCCACTCCCCGGAATCTCATCACTCCTTTGTTGTTTTAAGCCTTTGTTTATTTTTTCTTCTTTTTAGTAAACCTCAGAAGAGTCTTAGGTTTATAGAAAATTGGACAGAAAGTACAGCATTCCCAGCGTCCCCTGTTGTTAACACCTTCACTGGAACATTGGTTACCATTGCACTAATACATTTCTATTAACCGAAGACCCTGGCTGACCGCAGAGTCCACCCTTGTGCCACACAGGCCTGTGGGTTTTGACAAATGTACAGTAATCTGCCCACCATGACAGTATCACAGAAGCATCCACTGCCCCAAAGTCCCTGTGTCCCCTTGCTCCTGCTCTGCCCACCCCCTGGCAACCATGGATCTCGTGGTCTTTGCCATTGTTCTCAGAATGTCCTCACAGCTGCACTTGAACTTTGCTTTCTTCCCTCTGATGATGTCTTGGTCGTGTACATGGCTATTCGTGTCACGTTAGTTGTCCCTAGCCACTACAACAGGTAACAGCCCTATTACAGTTTCCCAGGCAGGGAAATGAAGATTCAGAGGAGGGCAGAGTGGAGTTGTACCAAGGTGGCCTGATGCCAGGCCATCCATTTACCTGCCTGTGCTGCCCTTGTCCAGTGACAGCCACCATCCATAAGGTGCTTATGGGCTGCCTGCTCCCTGTTTTTTCCTCTTAACCCTCCAAGAAGCCCGCTGCCCCCATTTCTCAGAGAAGGCTGAGGCCCTGGCTCATGGAGGTGAAGTTGGCACAGCACTGAACCCTTCTGTCCCTCTGCCCCTTGCCTTTCTACAGGTTCACCTATGGCCATGCCGGCACCATCTACAAAGACTTTGTGTACATCTCTGGGGGTCACGACTACCAGATAGGCCCGTACCGCAAGAACCTGCTGTGCTACGACCACCGGACAGATGTGTGGGAGGAGCGGCGGCCCATGACCACAGCACGCGGCTGGCACAGCATGTGCAGCCTGGGTGACAGCATCTATTCCATCGGCGGCAGTGATGACCACATCGAATCCATGGAGCGCTTCGACGTGCTGGGCGTGGAGGCCTACAGCCCTCAGTGTAACCAGTGGACCCGCGTGGCACCGCTGCTACAGGCTAACAGCGAGTCCGGCGTGGCTGTGTGGGAAGGCCGCATCTACATCCTGGGTGGCTACAGCTGGGAGAGCACCGCCTTCTCCAGGGCCGTGCAGGTGTACGACCGAGAGGCCGACAGGTGGAGCAGGGGCCCCGACCTGCCCAAGGCCATCGCTGGGGTGTCTGCCTGCGTCTGTGCCCTTAAGCCGAGGCTGGAGGACAAGAAGAAGAAAGGCAAGGGCAAGCGGCACCAGGACCGCGGCCAGTAGCCCCAGGTCGGCTCCTGGAAGCGTAGCGTGCACACTCCTCAGCAGCTTTTTGGACTTTTATGATTCTTAGTATTTCTATGATATCACAGTAACTGATAAAATATTCCACATAACTTTACATACTATCTTGCTTGGACAGTTAAACCCAGGCCCAGGCAGTGTCTGATAGGCCTTCTTGCTGGGGCTGGAGGACAGACCCCAAGGGTCCCTGTAACTATCCCCTGAGAGTAGCTAGCACACAGGTTATACAGAGATTTTTGTAGTGAAACTTGGGGTCTCAAAGGAACACTTCAAACCACATAGTATGAGACTTCACAAACCTGCTGAGCTTTTCTTTTGTCTTTTTTTTCCTTTCTTTGCATTTTTGACTGAGCTTTAAAAAAAATAAAATAAACTATAGACCTGGGGCCCCGCCTGAGAATTAGCAAATGTAAAATTCCAAGAGGAGCAGGGAAGCAGCCCTGCGCCATCTTCAACCAGCTCTCTGAACTCTGAGCACCAGTGTGTTTGGCAGTCACCATCAACATCAAGCATACTTGTTTTACTTGTTTTACAAACCACGATGCAGGAGCCCCCCAGGGTCGAGTAAGTGGCCAGGGGTCCTGCAGCCTCCTGGACAGTCAGGGGCAACACCTGGACCTCTCGTTGGGATTTCTGTGCCATTGGATTTATTGCTGAAAAATCCCATTTTTCCTGGCTGGTGTGATAATCTTTCTCAATTCAAAGAAGTTAACCAAGAAAGAAAGGAAGGAAAAACCAGCAGAAAGCTCTTCGTACACATGCTGAAGTTTCTGCTTTGTTTTCTTCTTTTTTCTTTGTTTTTTGGAACCCACCGTCTCTTATATAACCCAGGTACTGAGTTCTCAAAATCTTCATGAATTTCTCAGGAAAGAAAAAGTGGATGTGGTACAACCTGCAGCCATATCCCATTACTGTGGCCACACAAATGAGCATGCTGGTCCTCAGAAGGTGGCCGAGGGCCTCCCCCCGACTGAAGCAACAAGTCCTGGCCCTGGTTACCTGCTGCTAGGTGGATTTGCAATGCTGGGAAGATTGTTGAACAAGTTTTTGTCCCCTCTTTTCTTATGCCACTGGGTCCCTCCCAGGTCAACTAAGCATTAACCTTCTGTCAATCCAGCATTTCCAAACTTTTTGAGCCTGAAACTCTTTTCTTGATCTCATGCCTAGTCCCAGACTTCTGAGAAACGTTTTGCAGAGCTTTGACCAGCTCCTGAAGAGCTCAGCCCTGTCCCATCCCAGGACAGGTTTGATTACTTGAAGGCCCTGTAGAAGGCACAGGGTGGCATATGAGACCAGAGGTCAGTTCTCCCCAACTCAGCCCAGGCCGTGAACCACAAGAGGTGGTTCAACCAGAAGTCGGGGCAGGTGGCAGTCACACAGCAAAAGGTTCCTAGTGCTTTCAGAGCAGGACAGCTTTGACCTCAAAAAGAGTCATGGATCCAAGCCGAAGCCAGCTCTCCACCATTTCCTGCTGGGGCTTGCCCTGAACGGCGAGGTGCCGCCTGGGTCCTGGTTGTGTCGTGCCTTGTGGGCTCCGGCACCTGGTGTTTGGTGGCATCTCTCTGACCATAATGTGGTTTGTAATTTACATGGCTTGGCCTCTAATCTTACTAAGGCTGAGCACCTTCCTTTAAAAGCTGACATGTAAGTTTTATCGTGGGGGCCACTTCACACTGTTGGTGGCTGGTGGTGTCAGTGGAGAGGTGAAGAGCCCGGTGGTGGTACCTGGGCTAGGGTTTGGGTGTCTGCATCTTTAAATTGGAAATCACTTCACTGTGCAACCCAACTAGGTGGAAGAAAACCCTTTTTCACGAGGAGGGCAGAGCCTGAGACCTGTTGTGACACTGTGCATCAAACCGACCCAAAGTGAAAACAGCCATGTCTGCATCATGTTTTGAACCATCCATGCCCCCATCCACGCCCCCCCAACCATGCTCCCATCCATGCTTCCTGCTGTCTGCAGCTTTGGGAACATGTGGAAGTTTTCCTTGCACTTTCAGCATAAGCATGGCAGGCTTCTATCCAGGTCTTGGTTTTGCTCATTTTGAAAAAAATGAGAGGGGTTTTTTTTGTTTTGTTTGCAGCACTGGTGTCTGAACTCAGGGTCTCACGCTTGCTAGACAGGCACTCTTCCCGCTTGAGCCGCTCCACCAGCCCAAGGGTTTTAGCTTTCTGTTAGAGGTTTTGGGATTTGGTCCTCAGCCAAGTTAGAGCTCATTTGCATAAAACATAAATGTAACGGTGAAAGGGAAGGACAGCAAAAACTGAGGGCTCCCCGGCCAGCGGCACCTGTGCCCCCGGTTACTGGGGAGGCCGAGCAGGATGGGGAGGGACTCCTTGAACTCATGAGTTCCGGGCCAGCCGGAGCAACATGGTGAGACACTGTCCCCAAAAAGAAAATGCACATCGATTGCGTGATCAGCATTACGGTGTCAGCCCTCACTTGGCAATTCTCACACTCTGCCGTTTTAGTAAAGTAACACTGCCAGGCGAGACTGGGAGAACCACAGGTGTGTATGTGTCCTGAATGCATCTCTACCTGCCCCTGGTGATAAGGTGCCCAGAAGCTAACTTGACAGGGTGTTATGGGGTGGGAAGCCAAATACCAGAGGGTGTTCCTCCTCCCAGGACCGGGTCAACTCTGTGAATTCAGATGTGCTAGCGGTGGCTCCAAGAGGCCCTTTCAGTGATTTGAGAGTGCAAGAAGTGATAGGCCACTGCCACCCCCACCCCACCCCCTTATAGAGGCACCGACCTTATTTACCCTGGTAAATGGGGATGGGATGGGGCTTGGGGCTTGGCCAACACCAACCCAAGCAGCAGCTCACTGGCTTTGGACTCTTGAGGTTTTGGCTGGACTCAGCCTCAGGTCTCAAACCTGTGGGCGCAGCTCATCTGGTCTCTGGACCTTCTGATGTACCCATGGATGTATGGGGGGCCCTGGAGGGGAGCAAGAGGCACGGGCCTCCAGGATAACCTGGAGTGTGGACAGCTCCCCTGCTGGCTGGCACCTGAGGCCCTGGCCCCTGCATCTGCCAAGCTGGTGTTTTTAGAGTTTTTTGAAATGTTTTGATACTTTTTGATACAATTTGCTAATGACCATTTTGTAGAATGTCCACCAAGGCTCTCCACTTCATCCCTACCTTCAGCCCCTTGATTTGTCTGAACAACGACAGCCCCTGGGTCAGTGCCAGGACCTCCACTCCTGTGGCTTTGTCTTCGATCTTGTCCTTCTCCATGACTAACCTAATACAGCCCAAATTTTGTAAGGTCACACACAGCCGTGAGTAGGACCATTAATGCCCTCAAGGTTCCTCATTCTTCAGAGCTCCTACCTCACTGGTGTGCAGAGTTGCAGAGACACCACCGGGCCCATCCATGTGTCACCTTTCTCATACGGGTCATTTCTCCATCAAATGGATGGCTAGGCCCTGGTCTCTTCCCGTCCACCCATCTTTTAAAGAAATCTTAACCTGATATCTGCAGACGTTAGAACAGCGAGCCATCCCTGCACTCTGTATAAGCTCTGTCCTCAGCTGTGCAGGTGTTCATCTCTTTGTGTTCAATGTGGTTTTTTTTTTTTTTTTTTATGGATAGAATTGGTGGCTTCTGAGGGGGCTGGGGGTGTCTCAAGAAATTGTCCTTTGGTTGCCTTAGTTAAAAGAATGGAATGAATGTAAACGTTTGGGGGAGGGGGAGAATTAGCCCTTCCCTGGCCGTTTTCTTGGGCAGTTGAGAGGACAGAATGCCTCCTGCTTGACTGAGGCTCCGTGTCAGCTCCTCTCAAAGCAAGTTAGACTATTTGAGGGTAAGTGATGCATTGGCTGTGTTCTGCAAGTAATGTCACTGAAACCTGTAATTGCGTCTTTTTTTATTATTATTATTTCTGCTTTTGTATTTGTAATTTTACAGTAGTCAGAGTTTTTCTGTTTTAGCTCCTTAGTTAATTTTCTGCATGTTGCTTTTGCTTTCAATTCCAAACAGAGTGTTCAGTTCTTGAAATGAATTAAAACGGATTTGCCTGTGAGGGTGTGGTTTGTTTTCTAATGACGCTCCTTGCCTTGTGTGATTCTTTCTATTTTCTGTTTTCTCTGCCCGTATGAAAAATGAGCCCCTTGCATGTTAAACCCAAATATAATTTGGAAATGATCCAGGCTTCCTTTTAGTGTTGTGGGCTGGGATATTTCAAGTCTGCTTTTATTGTGCATCTAATTACTGTGTTTATCTAGGAATTTCATTCTGAGACCTTGTGACTTGAAATCAAACTATTTGCTTAAATCTGTTGTTAGTTGAGCCGGCGCCATGGCTCATGCCTGTAATGCCAGCTACTCAGAAAGCAGAGATTGGGAAGATCAAGGTTCAAGATTAGCCCAGGCAACTAGTTCATAAGACCCCCATCGCCAAAATAACCAGGGCAAAGTGAACTGGAGACGTGGCTCAAGCCCTGAGTTCAAACCCCAATCCCACCAAAAAGAATTGTGTTGATTGGAATAATTTGGCTTGAAAGGAAAACCAGAGCCAGTCACCAGTGGCTCACGCCTGTAATCCTAGCTACTCAGGAAACAGAGATCATGAGGATCTAGGTTCGAAGCCAGCCTGGGCAAATAGTTTGAGAGACCTTATCTCGAAAAATCCCATCACAAAAAAAGGGTTGGTGGAGTAGCTCAAGGTATAGGCCCTGAATTTAAGCCTCAGTACCACAAAAGAAAGAAGGAAGGAAGGGAGACCAGAAACTGAGGGAAACAACTTCAGACAAGCAGTTTGTATCTGTGTCAGAGGTGCAGGGGCACCTTTGAGGACAGAGGCCACGCCTGTGAGGACAGAGGCCACGCCTGTGAGGACAGAGGTCACATCTTCCTCTGTCCCAAGAAAAGCAGGCTCATTCCACTGCCCTTGGGTTGTTTTCAAGGCCACCCGCAGACAACCCCAGTCACCACTGCACAGCTTTGGCCACGCAGCACCCTGGGGGTGGAGAGAGGCACTTGCACACCCATCCCACCTGGCCACTGGGTTAAGATTTGTGTGTGAGCCCACAGCCCCTAACTCGGCCACAACTTGCTGTTCCTCACCTGGGTTCCTTCCTGAGCGCGTCCGAAGACTCAGCATTTTCCCAGTAAGGGAAAGTCAGAGGCAACCAGAGCAAATGTCCCCAGTGTAATAGCAGAAGCCATGTGGTTTTCAGGAAACCATCACTATTCCACTCCTTAGGATCCTCACAAAAGGATGGCAGTTGTTGCTAGAAGGTGTGTTGGTGATTCTGCAGTCCTGTCTCCAAACCACAATGGAGCATGTGTCCAGAGGCTGCTGCCCCGGCCAGCAGGGCTATGTAAAAGCCCTGCCAGTGTTGCCTGCTGAGAGCAGAGCGTGTCTCCCCGTCCTCACCCAGCCCCTTAGGAAGGCCTGGCAAACCTGCACTCCAGCTGTCTGTGCAGGAGTCTATGAGTGGAGCAAAACAAATGCCCAGTGGGCTGGAGCAAGGCTTAGGTGGAGCAAGTTCACATGGCATGTGCAAGGTCCTGGATTCCATCCCAAGCAGTGCAAAAGATAATTACAACAATTAGAAAGCTGTAATGGGGGTGCTGTCACCTGAGCCCGCACTGGCAGTCCACTGCCAAGTGGCTGAGTCAGGACTGAGGCTCTGACACCAAAGGCACCTGTTGTCATGGAGAGTCACCTTTGAGAGGTGGAGCCTCATGGCAGATCCTAGGTCACGGTGACTGTGGGGCTAGTCTCTTCCTCTCCTTCACACTGGGCCATGATATGAACAGGTCTGTACTTCACTGCCACAGGCCACTGCCTCCTCCAAAACCATGAGCCAAAGTAAACATCTCTTCCCAGGTGGACTTATTCAAGTACTTGTTACAGTGACAGCTGGTTCATACAAAGCTGCTATGGTTTTTTTTTTTTTTTTTTTTGGTGGCACTGGGAATCAAGTCCAGGGTCTCCAGCATGCTAGGCAAGTGCTCAGCCATTGTGCTGCACCCTCCGCCCCATCCTTTGTTTTCATTTAATTAGCATACAGTGAAATTTACTCTCAGTGTGTCTATGGCTCATGAATTTCAAGACAGCTAGTCAATTTGTTCACCGCAAACATTAAAGTCCACCAGTGCATGGATGGAAATACAAAATTGGTTCATTCAAGCCCTAAAAGGGAATGTGGCACTGACAGGTCTACAACATGGATGGACTTGGAACACATATGTTAAGTAAAAGAAGCCAAAGAGTTGGGTACTGGTGGCTCACGTCTGTAATCCCATCTACTCAGGAGGCAGAGATCAAGAGGATCAAGGTTCGAAGCCAGCCCAGGCAAATAGTTCATGAGACCCTATCTTGAAAAACCCTTCACAAAAATAGGGCTGGTGGAGTGGCTCAAGGTAAAGGTCCTGAGTTCAAGCCCCAGTAACGCAAAAAAAAAAGTATCTGAATTACATCTCAGTACAGCTGTTTAAAATACTAAAACAATATTCCACCTGGTTCCTCAATTGCATGGGTCTCCTAAGAATTACAGGTTGTGGAAGCAGGGTTCACCTCAGACCTATGAGAGCTGGGACCAGGACACACTCCAGAGGGCAAGGGTGACTGGACCAGGTGTGGCAGGAGCTTGGGACCCCAAGTTCAAACCAAGTTCAAATGCCAGTACTGCACCAAAAAAGAAAAGAAATGTGTGCTATCAGCCCATCTGTGTCGGACGCACCAGCCACTCCTGGGCTGATTCTGATGCTGACTCAAGCTTGAGGACCACCGTGCTCCGGCCTTTTTCTCCTCGCACAGCCCTTCGCAGGCTGAGTCCAATCCACAGCCAACAACTGCGGGTTTGCTCTGTTCAGAAGCTGAGCCATGGGGCTTCTTGCTGCTTAAGCATTGCCTGCTCTGGAGTGGACACAGCTCCCAGCTCTGGAGAGCCAGGGAAGGGTGGAGCCACCCCCATAGGCACTCACACCTGCTGCACCTCGGGGGAGCACACTCCCAGGTGCCCTTCCTGTAGCAGGAAGCCCTGGGGCCTGGCCCAGGCTTTGACTGGGGCCTCCAGCATCCGCTGGCTGAGTTCCACAGGATGGCTTACCAGGCTGGGATAGTGACTCATGCCCCCAGGGGCCCTGGCTGCTCTTTTGCAGTCACCCAAAGATGCTAAAAATAGATGAGTTCTATAGGCTGCTCTAGGTTCCCAAGCCCACCAGTGTCTCGGCTTCTGCTTGTTCCAGGCTGAAATTCAATTCAGCTCTCGTCTGCATGGAGCAAGGCCTTCCTTAGTGTCCCCTGTTTTAGAATGGGGACTGACCGCCTCTTGGAGCCTGGGACTGTGAGTCAGGACGTGCAGCTTTTAGCTTTGGCTCTGCTGAAGGACACCTGGGCAAGCCCCGTCATGTCTTTAAGTTTCAGTTCCTTGCACTGTGAGGTGAGATGGTTGGGGATCAGAGTTCCTTCGGGTGGGGCCTGCCACCAGTGGCCTTATGGGAGAGTGTTGGGGGAAGTCTGGAGAGAGGATATGAATCTGAGAGTCCCATAAAAGACACTGACTTAATTTTGCCTAAACCAGGATCCCCTGCACTTCTGTGGCCTGGCTTTCCCTCCCCCCTTTCCCTCTGTTACTCTTTTTTTTTTTTTTTGCAGTACTAGGGTTTGAACTCAGGCCCTACACCTGAGCCACTCCACCAGCCCTTTTCTGTGATGGGTTTTTTTTGAGATAGGGTCTCACAAACTATTTGCCCATCCTGGCTTCGAACCATGATCCTCCTGATCTCTGCCTCTTGAGTAGCTAGGATTACAGGCACGAGCTACCGGTGCCCAGCTCCCTCTGTTATTAACTAGGGATAAGTGTATCCCCACAACACTCCTAAGAAATGGGAAAGAAGACTTCTGTGTCTTTTACCTGACAGCCCAAGATTCAACAACTGTCTGGTCACCACCTAGAAAGATGCCACAAAGATAGCAGGGAGGTGTGGCTCAAGTGGTAGAGCACCTGCCTAGAAACTACAAGGTCCTGAGTTCAAACCACAGTACCACCAAAATAAAACACACATATATATGAAAGTTGGCAGGGAGGGTGGCCAGCTGACTGTTCAGGACATTCTCCTGCAGGGCAGTGGCTCGAGATGGTTACTATGTTTCACGGTCTGGCTTTCAATTTCTCAGGCCTAGCATCTTCCTCTAGTTATTGTATCTCTGATGGCTAATTTTATGTAGCAACTTGGCTGGGCCACAGCACCCAGTTACCGGGGTCAGACATGATTCTAAAAGTTTCTCAGAAAGTGTGTTTGGATGTGATTAACATTCAAACTGTTAGACTTTGAGAAAAAAAGATTCCCCTCCATGATCTGGGTGGGTCTGATCCAATCAGTTGAAGGCCTTCTGAGAACAAAGACTAAGATTCCCCTGGGCAAAGGAGGAATTCTTCCAGCAGTCAACTGCTCTTCCCTGGGTCTCTAGACAGCTGGCCCCCCTTACAGATGTTGGAACTGCCGACTCCATAATTCTATGACCCAATTATTACAATCTATCTGTTTTTAAATATCTACATCTGTGTTAGCTTTCCACC